AACATAGTATTGACCCTCAATTGTGTTTCCAGTACGAACCTCCATGACACAGTCCTGTTATGCGGTTATTTTTGAGTTTCTCATTGCAATAACATAGTACTTTAGAATAAATGTATGAAATAAAAGTATATCCATGTATCAATACAGTTTTAAGTTCAAGGTTGTCCCTAAGACCTGGGGCCGGGGTATTATGACATTATCCACCGTTTTTCTGGTATTCCCCCTCAACCTCCTCTTAGGAGAGGAATCCCAGACCTCCTACTTGTTTAATGTCCCCTGCTATTTCAAACTTTAGAGACAACCCTGTATGTGCATACCATACATTTCCTTTTCTTTAAGGAATATTATATTGTCTAATTTCAATTCAATTCAATTTATTCACTCAAACCACTTAGTTGTACACGAGGTTCTATATACACTGTATACAAAGACATATACAATGTACATGTAAAAGATACACGTGATATAGCGGGAATATATAAAAGTTCAATATTAAGCAGAAACAATTATGGACGACAGACTTGTTCATATACTTTATATATGAATTACACAATTTAATTAATACACTGGAATCAGCAGTTGACAATAATTCTGAAAATTTGTAAAAAAAAAAAAAAAAAAAAAAAAAAAAAAAAAATTGGTCTACTAGAGTATTTCAGTACTTTTCTTTTGATAGATGCTTTTTCCGGCATTCTAAAAAAAAAAGACATTCTAGAATATAATGATACTCATCTGCTATCTGTCCCTTATTATAGATATTACAAAGTCTATCATTTTGGGGAATTCCACACCATGAAATATGAAAGAACTTTACAAAAGAAAACATTATCCAGACCCCACCATCACCACCACCACTCCTCCGGGGCAAAAGTAAAAAAAAAATGGGCCCAGTATTTCTCAAATATTTAAACTAGAGGTTTTCAATGTAACACATGTGTCCCTTGCTCTAGCATCTATCATGTTGTAATTTTTGAATTTACTTGGGGGAGATAAATGCAAAATGATAACTCTAGTGAACTCAAAACCTTTTCAGTCAAGAACTCTGTTTATTAGGTATAATTATAAAAATCTAATTTAAATTTCTATTTTATTTTTTATTAAGTCAATTTTTAGGTTTTAAGGTCTAAGGGTGGAGTTACATGTATCATGTTGTAAATTTTGCATTTACCTCCCCTTAGTACATCCAAAACTTACAACGTGATAACTCCACACTTCTCCAAATGGCTTTAGACCCTAAAGCCTAAAAATTGACTTAATAAAAAATGAGAATCAAATAGAAATTTAAATTAGATTTTTATAATTATACTTGATAAACAGAGTTTTTGACTGAAAAAGTTTTGAATTTACTAGGTGAAGGAAAAATTTAATTTTGTATGGAATTCCATATACGACAGCCAACTGCTTACTGCCAACTGCTCACTGCTTACTGCCAACTGCTCACTGCTTACTGCCAACTGCCACGCTTTTTGAATAAATTTTCATATTTATATTGATATTTATGTGAATTTTCATAAAACCAGGCGCGGATCCAGGATTTTTTTTACAGGAGCCCCCCCCCCCCAAAAAAAAAAAAAATCCAACACAGAAATTTCTTGACAAAAAACCAAACAAAACAAAATAAAACAAACAAACAAACAAAAACGTAAACTCCTTTCCTAAACATAAAAAAACCTATTTCGGCGGGGGAAGGGGAGGGGTTGACATCTTATGCTTCATATCTATGACTTTTCATATCAACTTAACACGGATCCGCGTTTTCTAGGGGTGGGTGGGTTTCCAAGGTCACTTTTAGTTGGTTTAGTATAGGTCTATACATTAAATAACTCTACAAATTCCAGGGGGTGATCTGGAACCCCCCCTTCTCAACGACCCCCCCCCTCTAGATCTATGTATGTAAAACATAACTTATTTGGGAAAACAAAGAGATATAAATCTTTAATTTGAAAAAAAAAAAAAAAATAGTTCACTATAGAAATTAACGGAAAATGGAAATTTATTTTCAAAACATCTTCCCCCGCGAAACAACAGATCCCTTTTTTCAGTTTTTATTCATTCCAAAGGTTTTGTTGTCTCACGGGGGGGGGGGGGGGGGGCACGTGTTTAAAGATTAAAAACAGGAAAATAGTCATTTTATTACCAATTTTAAATGAGATCACAAATAAAAAATGTACTTTATCATTTTATCAATCTCATATGTTATATTTTACATAATTTAAAAAATACGGTGAGATTCAAGAGTCATTTATCCATTATCATTTTCATGAGTATTTGAAAATGGTGACGTTTTCAGCCTGATTTCAATTAATAAAATTTTCTATCCCCTTATGAAAGGAGTTGTAAATAAGAGCAATTAACTTTTTGTCACTGGTTTTTAAAATTAGTACTTAATACTTATGAACTTTTCTTTGCATTCAAACAAGTTTTCATGTCCAAATTGCCATTTATATTGAATTAAATGGATGGAGAATGTAGGCGGGAATCGAGAGTTGGTGTGCATAGTTCTTACAATAATAACAAAATTTGGCGGATTTAGGAATTTTTAAACTGTAAAGGCGAGGAAGGAGTAAATCGGAAGAAGGGGTGTTTCTTCTTAAAAAACAAAACATTTAATTTCTGCATTTCGTTGCAGGCAAATAATTTGATAGCTTTTTTTGACGCAGATAAGGGGGGGGGGGGTCACATACGACAAAAGAACATACTTTTAAAAGGGTCTTGAGTAACATTTGTTGGTATATGTATTTATAATAGAAATATTACTGAAAGTTATAATAACAAATAACTTTTGCCTAGTTTAAAATATCGAGTAATATCTTTCGGATTTTCTTTTTACCCTAGAAAAAGTACCTATGTATGGGAATTTTTATATGTGTCTTATGTAAATCGTTTTAATAGCTAATGTTCGATCTGTTAGATCTGTAAAAAAACATTTGTGGTGGTGGTGGTTGTAGGGAGGGGGGGGGGGGGCGTAACCACTAAATTTCCAACATATACTATATACAGTAGTTCTCCCTTACGGAAGCATATTAACGCCACGCAATGTTTTTTAAAGTTGGTAATTCCAACTTTTAAGTTGGAAATTCCAACTTTAAAGTTGGAAAAGCCAAGATTAAAGTTGGAATTACCAACTTTCAAGTTGGAAAAGCCAACTTTAAAGTTGGAATTTTCAACTTTAAAGTTGGAATTTCCAATTTTAAAGTTGGAAAAGCCAACTTTAAAGTTGGAATTTCCAACTTTAAAGTTGGAATTACCAACTTTAAAAAAAAAAATTACGTGGCACTAATACGCTTCCGTAAGGGAGAACTACTGTAAATAGTATATGTTGGAAATTTAGTGTTTACCCCCCCCCCCTTCCCCTCCCCCAACCACCACCACCACAAATGTTTTTTACAGATCTAACAGGTCGAACATTAGCCATTAAAACGATTTACATAAGACACATATAAAAATTCCCACACATACGTACTTTTCCTAGGGTAAAAAGAAAATCCAAAAGTTATTACTCGATGTTTTAAACTAGGCAAAAGTTATTTTTTATTATAACTTTCAGTAATATTTCTATTATAAATACATATACCAACAAATGTTACTCAAGACCCTTTTAAAAGTTTGTTCTTTTGTCGTATGTGACCCCCCCCCCCTTCCCGCGTCAAAAAAAGCTATCAAATTATTTGCCTGCAACGAAATGCAGAAATTAAATGTTTTGTTTTTAAGAAGAAACACCCCTTCTTCCGATTTACTCCTTCCTCGCCTTTACAGTTTAAAAATTCCTAATTCCGCCAAATTTTGTTATTATTGTAAGAACTATGCAGCACACTAACTCTCTATTCCCGCCTTCATGAAAATGAAAATGGATAAATGACTCTTAAATCTCACCGTATTTTTAACTTTTGTAAGATTTAACATATGAGATTGATAAAGTACATTTTTGTATTTGTGATCTCATTTGAAATTGGTAATAAAATGACTATTTTCCTGTTTTTACTCTTCAAAAACACGTGCCCCCCCCCCCCCCCCCCGTGAGACAACAAAACCTTTGGAATGAATAAAAACTGAAAAAAGGGATCTGTTGTTTCGCGGGGAAGATGTTTTGAAAATAAATTTCCATTTTTCGTTAATTTATATAGTGAAATATTTTCTCAAATTAAAGATCTATATCTCTTTGTTTTCCCAAATAAGTTATGTTTTACATACACGGATCTAAGGGGGGGGGGGGGGGGGGGGGGTCGGTGGGAGGGGGGTGGGTGGGTGTCTGGACCACCCCCTGGAATTTGTAGAGTTATTTAATGTATAGACCTATACTAAACCAACTAAAAGTGACCTTGGAAACCCACCCACCCCTAGAAAACGCGGATCCGTGTTAAGTTGATATGAAAAGTCATAGATATGAAGCATAAGATGTCAACCCCTCCCCTTCCCCCGCCGAAATAGGTTTTTTACGTTTAGGAAAGGAGTTTACGTTTTTGTTTGTTTTGTTTTGTATTTTGTCAAGAAATTTCTGTGTTGGATTTTTTTTTCGGGGGGGGGGGGGACCCCTCCTGTAAAAAAAATCCTGGATCCGCGCCTGGTTTTATGAAAATTCACATAAATATCAATATAAATATGAAAATTTATTCAAATATGCGTGGCAGTTGGCAGTAAGCAGTGAGCAGTTGGCAGTAAGCAGTTGGCTGTCGTATATGGAATTCCATAATTTTTTTTTTTTTTTTTTTTTTTTTTTTTTTTTTTTAAATTTCTTAATAAAATAAGCTTGTAAAGTATTTTTTATGTTTCTTGAAGATTTTTCTCCAAAGATTTTAGAATATATTATCAAATTATTATTTTCTAATTCATATCTAATATTTATATCAAGCATTAATTAGAAATAAATCTCTCAAACAAAGCTCTCAAATGTCTTATTTGCAACAAAAACAGTCGTACTTTTTTCTCATAAAAATAAGAAAGATATTTAAAAAATAATGTAGAGCTTATATCCTTTCCAAAGCTTTAGGGTAAAATGCGTAATGGCCAAAAAAGAGATTCTCACCCCCTGCACTGGTCGCTGGGCCCCAGGCCAGGGAGGATTCCATAAAATAGTTGAAATGGATCGTAAGAGGACGTTGTATTTCATCAGTTGTATAAATGATAAAGCTCTGTCTTTATGTTGTCTAATTTAATAGAACCTTAGATACGCGACAGGCGTACGGTTTTATGAAAGCATTTTCTGGATTCCCGTACTCTTTAAACTTTGGCCGGTGTAGATCCCGCTAAAAGAAGATGAGAAAGGAAAAGGAAGGAGGAAAAAGGAGAACAATTGCACAAAATTTTATGATAAACGTGATGACATCAACTTTTCTATCGTCAGCTTCCCTTATTTAAGTAACAATATACCATTGCATATGGAGTTTATGTCTCCCAGTCGATTCGATACGCACAATTTCTAAAACGAGGCAAGCTACTGACAAGCAAATTGATGAAACAAGGATATCAGCAGTCTCGTTTGAAGTTAACATTTCGCATGTTCTATGGTCGATATAATGACCTTATCAACAAGAACAACCCATCATTGAGTCAAATGCTGACGGACGTTTTTCATACTAATTGTTAGGCCATTTTATTACACACTGAATTGTTCTTCGGATTTTCCGTGTGCCCGATCATGACAAGGAGTGACCGTCGACGCGGGGGGGGGGGGGGGGGGGTTAATCCTCCATGGTACCTGATCCCATCTCTTATGTTTTTAGAGGTCCTTGTTTACTTTGCTCTTGCTTTGTATTGCTTTCACTGTCTTTTAAGCTCAATTTCTATTCATTATCTCCATATTTACCCCCTCGCAACGGAGTGGGTGGGTGGGTTAATTGTCTTTGTGTGCGAAACAGAAGTGATCTAATTTGCATCGGGATCGATGTCGAATGTTGCCTTGCTCTAATAGATTTGCTCTTTTACGAGGGATGCTCCGTTTTGTGGTGCCCTTGTTTTATTTACCATAAAAGCGGAACAGAGAAGTCTTTTGATTGCGTGACCCCAGCGACCTTAAGACACTAGGATCGATCCTGCCCTTTATTCTGTAGCACATTAAACATATATTTTCTCTATGCAGAGTATTTGTTGAGACAGTGGTTTATATTGAATTCTTTAATGATATTTTCCCGGATACCCGCTCCCCTTCTGATGAATATTCTTTACAATCTCCGGTTGTCGAAAGGATATTGGGTCTTTTGTTTGAAACGAGAGCGTCAGTCGGTAGTGCGTTCGCTCCGTGATCGGAAGGTCGTGGGTTCAAACCTTCGGCCGCGACTGACCTAAGTCGATAAAAATAGGTAGCAACTGTTCCTTCGCCAAGCGCTCGGCACTTTGAAGTGAAAATGAGACTTTAAAAACCGAGGTCTCGTGTCACGACAGGCGTTGGCAAGATAAAGATCTCTCACTGCTCCATGGCCCTAAGTGCCATATGCAGTGTATAGTGACGTCTGTATATGCGCGAAAAATTTTCGAATGGGAAGTAGAACAATCAATCGTTTGCGTGGTTTGGTAAAACTTAACTTGACGTTATAAACTTTTGTTTCATTTAAAATTGAAAGTGACTAAACCGTTTTAGGCTGAATGTTGCAAGGCCATAGTAATCTTTTGCATTATCAGAATTGTATTAGCGGTAAACTATACTTTCAAATAATATAAATTCTACAGTTATTCGAAGTATTTAGGCTGTAAATTTCATTCTGAAAATTTTTAATGACATGACATCGCACTTGAACTGAAATATATAAGACCCACAGTATTCGGTCATATCAAACAAGAGGCCCAAGGGCCTTAACGGTCACCTGAGTATAATACAACAATTTAGAGGATCCATAGAGTATAAAATGAACTGAAAGGTAAAGTTTTATTGCCCGGAAGCAAGAAAGCTAGGGTGATCAGGATCAACAAAATAATTGGCCTAGTATTCATTAACAGTTCATAAATTCCCCATTTATCACTATCACCATACAGTATATTAACAAACTGTCAATGCTTCTGTACTATTTTAATCCCTTGCTGAAATCTCTTACATTGGCCTCTCTTGGTCTTTGATAAACATTTAATAAGACAAGTTATTTTTGTCTCATTTTTATTAATCATTTACTTACAAGTCTACCTGATCATTTAAACTATGAGAGTATTTTTTGTATTATACAATAAAAATTCTTGCATAATTCTCTTATTCTATTAACCTTTCAAGTACATTATTTGCAGTGATAAATTTTCAAAAGTAAATGGCAAAGGGGAATAACTCCTCTCAGTAGAATACAAATTAATAGAGCCCTGGCCAGGACCAGAACACTTGACCAAATGGTCCAGATGTTCAAAAATCTTGTAAAATTACCCTTCCTTATTTAAGAATTTTTTTTTACTCTTTTTGCCTCTGATATGCCCAAATGCAGAGAAGATTTTCAAAGAAATATTGCATTTTTACTACAGAGTCACTATATTATCAACAGAGCCCCCCCCCCCCCCTCTCCACCGAGAAACACCAGAGCCTCGCACCCTGGGACCAGAAGTTTGCTCAACATAAGTTATCACTTTGTTTATCTGCTTAACACTAAGGAGCAGACTGGATTATTTAATAGAATTCATGCATTTTCACTATATTATCAAGAGCCCCACCCTTACACCAGCACATCTGACCAAGGGGTCATGCAATTCACTACTCTGGAAGAAGCACTCTTGCTCATCATAACTATACACTTAATTCTTTGCTTTTAAACTAGAAGCAGAAAAGAATATTATCAAATTAATTTTGCCTTTTCACTATATAATCAATTGAGCCCCCCCCCCCTTTTTTCACCAGAATCCTTGACCCTGGGGCCATGAAATTCACAATTTTGGAAGAGGCATCCTTGCATTTCATAACAATGTACTTAGTTTGTTTATTAAATAATACCCATGGGCAAAGAAGATTTTCAAAGAAATAAATCACCTTCACTATAGGATCTATAAAGCCCCACCCTAGCACAGAACCCCTGTCCCTGGGGCCATGAGTTTCACAATTTTGGAAGAGGTATCCTTGCTTATCATAACAATGTACTTAGTTTGCTTAAAAAATACCCATGAGCAAAAAAGAAGACTTTTAAAGCATTGATGCATTTCACTAAATAATAAATAGAGCCTGCCCTAACACCAGAACCCCTGATCCAGGGGCCATGAAATTTACAATTTTGGATGAGACATCCTTGCTAATCAGAACGATGTATTTAATTTGTTTAAATAATACCCAGGAGTAGAGAATAAGATTTTCAAAGAAATAATGCACTTTCACTATATGATCTATTTAGCCCCGCCCTTGCACCAGAACCCCTGACCCTGGGGCTATGAATTTTGACAATTTGAGTAGAGTCATTCTTGCTTATCATAACTATGTATTTAATTTGTTTAAATAATACCCAGAAGTAGAGAAGAAGATTTTCAAAGAAATGATGCACTTTCACTGTATGATCTATATAGCCCCGCCCTAGCACCAGAACCCCTAACCCTAGGGGCCATGAATTTCACAATTTTGGTAAAGGGCTAAATGCTTATTACAATTATGTCAACAGTTTGACTGCTTGATGTCCAGGAGTAAAGAAGAAGATTTTTAAAGATTGCATTAATTTTGGTGGTTTTAGCCCCATCCCTCAGGCCCCAGGGGGGCAGGGACCATGAAATTCACAAATTTTGTTCCCCTTTACACATAGATGCCATATGCTAAAATTGGCTGAAATTGGTTCAGCAGTTTCAAAGAAGACGATGAAAATGTTCAAATGTTAACAGACGACGGACGACGCACGACTGACGACGGACGACGCACGACAACGGACGAAAACAGATAGAATAGGTCACCTGAGTGACTCAGGTGACCTAATAAAAAGGGGGTGGGTGGATGCTGGTTTGGATATCTCACCAGTAAAGATCTTTGAGAAATGAAATTTGATAGAAAAAAAAAAAAATAACAAAAACATAAAAATACAAATTTAAACAAATTAAAATGTATTTCACTTCCACTTTATATTTATACCTGCTTTTAAAAATAAAATGCTTGTAGCGTTAAAATAAATTTTCAACAATCTAATATTTGATATCAAATCCTCTATTTATAGAAAATTTATAAAGCTGTGCGTGAGAAAAAATGTAGTGCGCAATAAAAGATACACAGCGAAGCATGTTAGCAATATCAAATAAATACAATTTTAAAAAAAGCCATGTGTAACAAGTATTGATTTTTCATTATATAGAAGTTTTTATTTTTGTTACTGAGGTAGTAGTCACGCAAACATACACTTGTCTCACGAGGAAAATGGGTGTTTACCATATTCAGCTAATTTTTTTGACGGTGTTTTGCTTGAGCACAACTCATAGCCTCGGTGGTAAGTTCTTAATCAGATAATGACCTAATTTTAAATTTAAAAAAATTATTTAAATTTCGGAGAATTTTTGAACTACGAATAAGATCAGGGGAGTAAAAATGAAAAAAAAGAACGCACAATATTTGAGAAAAAACTCGTAAAAAGAGAATTTCAATTAGAAAAGACAAAGATTTTAACCTATACTCGCATTAAAAAAGTTATAAAATTTCTTGAAAATTAAATTAGTATTTTTCAATCAATCTAAGAGACTTTTGTTATCCATTTGATACATAATAAAGTTAACATAACTTTTGATTAGATTATGACTCTTATAATATCTATTACATAGATCAGAAATCGGCGTCTCTGATTGGTTGAAATATTTCTTTGATACTGCATCAATAAAATGTTTACAAATAAGCCGGTGTTAAGACAAATAATGACCCCCATAGAATAATGACCGGGGGGTCATATTTCAACGACAAAAAATGACCCCCCCCCCCTCAGCCGTAGAAAAAAAATAATTTTTTGTAGAAAAAGAGACCTAGGGTTTTTTTTGTGTGCGTCCTATAAAAAATTGACCCACGTTGAAAAATGTCCCCCTTTCCAACAGAGTGCATGATACAGAATTTATAACGGATTCCAAGGTTTGAACCTCTATGTTTGATATTCTTCTTTATGCCCCTTTTGACCAACACTGGAAGAACGCGCAATTAAAATGCAATTACATTTACCTGCATATTTCTATCTTTTAAAAGATTACTTCATAAATAAGGAAAATTGACAATAGAAAAAAGCTGAAGTCATCCCGTTTGTCAGACAGTTTGGTTGTTAGTTGGTCTTTATCGTCTATAGTCAGAAGAACGTCCAAATATGAAGCAGACGGGCAAACATAAGAAGGACATAAAATTTCTGCATGTCTGAAATATATACAATCTTATAATGTGCATTCAATTTTATTTAAAAACAGTGGTCTACTCTGTGGGAATTTCTTTTCAATTATATAGAAGTAATACGTACAGGAGAATCCCAGTAAAATGTACATTCAAGTCTGTTAACATGATCGTCTGAGAATAGGATACATACACGTAAGAGTAATATTTTTAAACCACTTCAAAACAGTGATACATTTGTCAAATCGACATGGAAACATTTTCAATACAGTGTATCTTAAAGTAGATTAATGTTTTCAATTTATAATTAAAGACAGACTATTTTATTGACCTTCAAGGTGAATACATGTATAAGGATTTATTTTTCCTACATTGAACTAAAATAGATTGAAAACAATTCTGAAAAAAGTTATTTCACCTGCATCTGAATTCTACTCAAGTGAACATAATATTCAGACACAAAGAATCGGAGAAGAGGGAGGGATCGTTCCCCCTTTTCTTAATGTAAATTTTAGCAATTTCTAATTTGAAAATGTTCATTGAAGGTCTTGTAACCATCCCCTCTTTCTTATACAGTAAAGTTAAAAAATCTCTCCTACTTGAGTGAACAAGATGAACATAACATCAGGCACATAGAATCAGGGATGGGGTGTCCACCCCCTTCCATTTCCACGAACGTATTTTTTTTTCGCTTGAAAATGGTCATTGCAAGTCTGGTTGTCCTACCCCCAACTTTTTGATACAGTAGAGTAAAAGAAAATCACACTTACATCAATAAACCTTTTGAGGGGTTCATCAAAGACATTTTAACTAAAAGTATTTTTTGCCTCTTATAATGCGCCAATTCCCCTTTCGATGCTATGCCTGACATTTATTTTTTTTCTACATTGCACCAAAACTAGATTTCCAATGCAAAATTAATACTGGTTATGCTTATGTTAACTCCTATTCTTTCACTATGTTTGGTTAGGACTTGAGCAAATGTAAACAAGAAACTTGACATGTCTGCTTAATCAGTTTGTATCAATTTAATCATTGAATCATATATTAAAACAATTATTGCTGTTTTTTTTTTTCTGTCAGGACGATCAGTGATTTTCCACCATCGAAAAACAATGTTCTTCTCGCCCTTTGGACTCGATAAATCTTTAACTCCACTAGATTCTGAATTATTGATTTGTCCTTAAAAACAGCAATGATTATATGATTTAATGAGATCAATATATCATCGATTTATTGGCAATGAAGCTCAAGTGAGCATTTTGGCCAACAGGTCTCTTGATTTATTTTTTTTTTATTTTGCCCCCTAAATGTTTCAACTTTACTCCGCTTTAATTCACAAGGGGTCATTATTCTACAGGGGTCATTTTTATTTACGTTGGGTATGCAGGTTTTTAGGGTGATGACACTTTTTCTACGGGCAAAAGGGTCATTTTTCGACGTCGAATAATGACCCCAGTATTCGACGTCGAAAAATGACCCCCGGTCATTATTCTATGGGGGTTATTATTCGTCTTCACACCGGAACTACATTTTTGATGTTCATAATGGCCGTACCTTTCATATTTCACCCTCATCAGTACAATGAAAGAACAATGAATTATTTTTACGCTATTTTCCGGAATTTCAAAACTTGTCCGATACGTTCCTGTTCGTTTCTTTCCAATTTATCCCTCTTTGCTAGACAAATCAGATTGTCTGCATGACAACAATGCACATTAACCTGAAAGAAAGGGAAAATGATTACACAGATCTTAAATTGTTGCCTGTAAGAAAACCATTATAGAACTTTGAAGACTTTGAAGACATGTTTATATACTACCGAAGGGGGATGTACTGTTAATTCTCTGGAGATGCAGACACGAAAAAAAAGACACTTAGTGAGGACGGAATCCATTCAGAGTGTTAAACAATCGAGAAGATGCTTTAACAGATGTTATACATGGACAGGGTGTGATGTTGAAAATTTGAAGAGGTTTGAAAGTAATTCTGATAATGGGATGCGCGAAATCCAAAATTTTAGTGACCTAGAAAGTTTTCAGTTATGTAATCTCGCTTGTATGAATATTTAGACCAAAAAGTCAAATACTTGTTTGTAATGAGTAATACATAACAAACAGACAATGTTCACGTATTGTACTGTCAAAACCAGCTGTTTCTAACAATACCATGAAAATGACATCAGATGTTTTATTACTTTCTGTTATATCCTCTTGGGTAGAATGTTGACATGGTTAGGCATAGTTAGATTAACTTTCCTCTACATTTGCAATCCTCTAAAACATCAGCTTTCCTAGGAAAATTCGAAGTGTATACATATCCAACCATTTTAACAACAATTTGTTTCTAAAAGTTTAAACCGTTCTTTTCAGGTCTTACTTGTGGAAGAGGTTGGGTCGTCTATAACGGAAGTTGTTATTATTTCTCAACATCGGCAGCGGTATTCAAAGATGCTATGGTAGGTTGAAATTCATATTTTATTTCTCTTAATTACAAAATAATCTGATATTAACTTTCGGACAACTACTGTACATTTTTTCTTTTTGAATAACTCAAATTTCATTTTAGTTTTCAACAACATTTCTTTTTTTTGAGGAAATTTATAACCCTTAGATTATTAGTCCCTGAAATGGACACAAAATAAAAAAAAAAAAAAAACTTTGAAGCTGATGTTTGATTGTCAAATTTGATGCATTCATACATAGAGAATATTTTACAGAGAGCCATTTTCAAGTCTTCAAAGAATCAATGAGTGTTTGACATGTCATTGAGAAAAGACAAAAATAAGAAATCCTTCTGTATCTAATTCAACCGCAAACTTGCACTCCAGAACCTGAAAATCTGATCCATAATAAATTTCTTAAATTCTCACTTAAATTTCCCGATTCATTTTGATTTAAATTTTTACATTATTCCATAGGTAACTTGTCATGGCCTTGGTGCTAATATGCTAGAACTTCAAAATGCAGAGGAGGAAATATGGATTGATTTACAATGTCGAATAAGAGGTAGGTAATAGTACGAACCAACTCTCAGTTATTGGTCGGTATCAACCATATACATATCATATAATATATCAAAGATTTCATTTTTAAAGACTCTTGAAATTTTGAAAAATGGACTATAACGAGATCTGAAAAAATAAAGGAACGCAAAAAATTTTGAAAAAATCTGAAAGAGTATACTTCTTCATAAGCTGCCTAGTTTAAAGAAATAAGATGAAATAAAACGGGTATAAAAATATACAACGATTTTGTTTGTTTTTTTTTTTTTTTACACTTATATGCCATTTCTCTTTCACTTCAAACTTTCTCATATTTACCAGTATAAAGAAAAAGTATGAACTGTAAATTAATGAAAGGAAAAAAGTCATGAAAAGTGCTCTAGAGCATTTTAAGGTCATCATTATCTTTTTTTTTTGTCACATAAGAACAATAAATTTTAAAAAGAAAACTTAACATTAAACAAAAACATATAACAAAGGAAGTATTTTTGCCTAAGTATTTGAATATAATTTTCTTTTAATATAATATGAAAAACAGAAACGATGTCTTCACATGACGAAATGTTATAGGGAGTGTGGAAATCGTTAGAATTCTTCTACACACAAAATCTAATGATTTTCCCTGGTAATTAGACATATATATTATGTTTTTTCAAGCGCTTTAATTTTTTTCTATACATGTAAAAAAAAAAGATACATATCAAGTTAAATTACCCAGCATCTGTATACATGTTGTCGAAAAGGTTTAATCTAGTATAAATCTAAAATAATGCGATTACTGTTTCATTTCTTTTCAAAGGTTATCGGTACGGTGTTTGGCTTGGCGTTAGTGATCATCAGTATGAGGGAAAATTTATATCTATTTCAAATGCGAGAAGCCTTTCTTACAGCAATTGGATGAAAGGAGAACCGAACAACTTCAGGGGGAAAGAGGACTGTACTCTCTACTGGTTTCTGCATAGAGGTTGGAACGACACTGCATGCAACGGAAAAATAAATTATGTTTGTAAAAAAGGAAAATGAATTTGATTCCTCAATCTGATTCACAGTGTTAATAAATATTCAAAACATAAATAACTTTGATTCGACATTCGGCACTGTTTCCTGTACTGAAAAAGACTATCATTGATTTCCATAAAGTTCTTGAGTCCAAACAAACAGTGTAACCATACATTTTTTCATTGGTGATCTAAACCCTCTTGTCAGCTCAAGACTCGAAAGATATTGAAAAAGTAATATCTCAGTTTGGTGGACGAGGATAATATATCTATTTTTATGTCTAGTTGAATGTATTTCGTCGCCTGCGTGTTTAGACCGTATGCTTAAGAGCACAGGGACTTGTTTCTGTAATAAATTTTTGACCCGTAGTATAATAATAACACCCTTGTGTTACTATTATACTATGGGTCAAAAATTTATTACAGAAACAGGTGCCTGTGCGTAAGAGTTACGGAGTGAGGAGTTGATCCTTACGTCGCGGATTCGAATTCCATTGCGGGACGTGGAGACCGGTTCTTTTGATGAGACCGTATAAATCGAAGTCCATTGTCGCGGTAGGTACTAGCACGAAGAAGAGCCCTCATTGCTCAAAGGCTCAAAAGACCGAGTACATTAAAGGGACATTAAACAAACAAACTAACAAACTATTTTTGATTTAATTTGATAGATAACTGAAAAGGATGGACGAGGTTATATACAAATTATAATCTGTTCACCATACTTATAGAAATACGTACAGGATTGGCTTTGTAATGACATGGTGTTTAGTCAGTAATTACCACTTCACACTGACCGATTTATTTCCATTTGGTCAGAAATATTAAAATTAATGTCTCTCATATCTCAGGTATATTCATGTTTTCCTATTTTTTGTTTGTCTATAGCAGGTGTAGATATCGAGAAAGATATATTAAAGGCGTTCTGATTGAAAAAACAAAAATTACTATTTTTAGGCTTCTTGTGTACCTATGTATACCCGAAAAAAAAAATGTTAAAAAATGTTCAAATTATTTTGACACAATTAACATGTAACTGATTTACAAAGCTGTATTTGATTGCCATCCCCATTTATTCAAATTCAAATTTTGATAATAAAGACACCTCAATTGATGTACCATTGCCAGATTTCTTACGCTTGTAATTAATTCACCAGAAGATTAACTTTAGCAATAATAAACAAAAGTTTTACTACATTGTGACCATTTCAAAAAAATGACTTTTTGCTCACCAAAACTGGATTGAAAATGGAAATATCTGCAAATCATATAATGGTCATGTTATGGCCATCTATATCAAATCAAGCATTCCATATTAACGGAAGCGAAAGATTCACTCGGCTAAGAGAATTCATAGGGCAGATCCCTCATCTGCCAATAACTGAGGTAAGTAAAATTGAAAGAATGCCAGAGCCACAAAATGTGGCCATATTGTAAACATTGTAAATCGCAAGATGTTGAAAACAGATCATGCCAGAACTGCCGACCGGTCACGCCCGCTGTGTGCTCCTGTCACGATCGGGAAATAACAGAAAAATTCGTCGACAATTCAGTGTGTAAATAATAGCCTAACAATTATCAAAAAAGAAGTCAGTCAGCATTTGACTTATTGATATATTGTATTTGCTGACTAGGTCATTGTATCGACCATAGAACTTATGAAATGATGATTTTAAACGAGACTGCTGATATTCTTGTTTCATCAACTTGTTTGTCAATAACTTACCTCGTTTTAGAAATTGTTCATACGTAGAGTATGCTCTGGCGTATCGAATCAACTGAGAGATATAAACCCCGTATGCAGGTAATAATGGTATATAGCTGCATAATTAAGGAAGTTGACAATTGAAAAGTTAGTGTCATCACGTTTATCAAAAAATTTTGTTGTTAGATTACAATTAACGTCTTTTTCTAATAAGATATCCAAATATGAAACACATGTATCAGACTCTGTGGTATCTTTTATCTCACACTCACCGAGATATATCGTGTCGACATAAGAATGGAAATAATCATTGTTAATTGACAATTGTCTGCTAATAACGAGTAGCAATTGGTACACATAAGAATTCCAATAGATTGTTGGAAGACCTGGCCCGGAGGTTATAAAACTTTTTGAGAAAAAACTCTGTGCTCAAACTCATACTCCGTTCTCCCAACTATACTTATACTCAAAATTTATATAAAAATTAGAGTGGAACTTTGAGTATCAGTATGGTTTGAAGAACGGTGTATGAGTTTGAGCACGGAGTTCGTTCTCAAAAAGTTTTATAACCTCCAGGCCATGTCTCCAAAAACCACATAGATATTGTCAATCAGAAACTCGAGCATCTTTTTTAATGTCAACTTCAGAGTACTTGTGTGTACAATCAGATTGTTTTTCAACAAAGTAATTTTGCAAGTGACCAATTACAAGGTAAGCAAATTTAGGAGATCCATTTTTATTGAAAAAGCAGCTCTCAACGATGTCAGAAAGCCTGGACTTTAATTTATCGTAGGGAATGGATGTTTATAAAGTTGAAAAATCACACTTTTTTATGTTGTTGAATTCTGTAAAATTTTGTGATTTCAAAATTTTGTGATTTCAGAATTTGTGATATACAGCAATAACAAAAAATCGTAAAAATTATTTCCCGCTTTTTAAGACCAAATACCTGTATATATCGTGCGAAAATAAGATAAAACAAAGGATGAAACTCTGTCATTCAGTCACCTGAATTGTCACTGAAAGATCTGGAAAGGTGACTGAATGACAGAGCTCTGCCAGTCAGTCACCTTCCAATAAACTTTCAGTCACCTTTCTGTTAACTGAATGGCAGAGTTTCATGTGTTTGGTGCTCTACAGTACACAGATTTATAAGTTTTTGAGAGACAAGACAGTAAAACATTTTTCTATCCAACAACGATATTGTTTATTCAATGGTTATTCATGCTAACATAAACGGATTATTTTTATCCCCTTTGAGAGTAAAATGATTAAATGGGAATTTCTAATGCTATTTGTTGCATGTCTTAGCTTTTGAGTTAAGAGGTTTCGATATAAAAATTAAAAGGTTCAATAGAATTTTAATGGAGATATCGTTAATCAAGATTTAAGAGATGATCTAGAGATGATCTAACACTGCCCAGGTTTTATACTATATATAAAGTGGCCATTTATAATAACATGATATCGGTTTTAAAGCTTTAAATCAAACAATAATGTAGGCAAGTTATTCCACTAATTGGGTGATGTAGCTAATTTTTCTTTATATTTTACAACTCATTGGCATTTATAGCAGTGTTTATTTATAGAACAGGATTTTTGAGCATTTTTCATAAGACTAGTATAGATGCCCAGTAGGTGAATATACATATTTTTTTAATTTAATGTCTTAGATGTTTCATAGGTCTTCCACATTGCTCCCATTTTCTATTTAATTTTTCATAAACTTCTTTTTATATTCATTGACATTATTGCTATTCAAAATTAAATTGTATTTTTTGAAAAAAAAAATATTTATTCCTGTGCAATTTTTAAGACTTTACTCTTTGTTAAATTTTGATTATTATTTATTATTTGTAATCATTTAAAAGGTTACATGTAATTCGCATTCTTTCAATTTTATAAAACTTTATACAGTGTTTTAAGGGTTGATCATAGTTCAGAAATTCCCTTAACTGGGTGGATCTGGATAACTGGAGGCATAGAATTCCATTTTAAGACGTGTTGGCTAGTACCGTTGACATGTTTATTACAAAAGAGTTCTACTTTTACTACTACAATTAAATTATGTCTAACATAATATAAAGACAATTTGCTCCTTGTTTATGGTAAAGACTTGTTGCAATTTTGCTTGTGAAACACACTTTCCTTTTTCTTCATAATATATTTTTGACTTTTTCAATCATTCTTTTTATTTTTTTTCTTTTGCATTTAACAACGATCGATCAGTAAATGATTAATTAATTACATTTTTGAAAAAAGAGCAAAGACGATAAAATAACTATTCAAAATATTTTTTTACTTTAATTTCTTGCAAAAATAGTTTATTTTCGAAGTACATGGTGTGTCGTTCCAGCCTCTACGATTAATCCAGTACATCGTACAATGTTCATTTCCTCCACTGTTATTTGGTTCTCCTCTCATCCAGTTACTATAATGAATTCTTTTTGCATTCGAAATAGATATAAATTTTCCTTCATATTGAATATCACTCACACCAAGCCATACGCCGTATTGATAGCCTATAAAAGCAAAATACATAGGATGGTTTCATCATTGTGAAGATTTTTGAACAAATATTTTTTTTTTCCAGAAATAAGACGTAATCCTTAATCGGGACTGAAGATCGATCCACTTTTCTTCCAAAAAGTTTTGGAGCTCGAGAATATCAGCACCCAGCCTATGACAAGTCACCTTTACAAAAAAAAAAAAAAAAAAAAAAAAAAAAAAAAAAAAAAAAAAAAAAAAAAATAATAATAATAATAATAATAAAAAATACATAATGAAATATGCTTATTTTACACAAACACACACAAAAATAAAAAAAAAAAATATTTATAATAATGCAAAAATATTAGAGCGAACATATTTTTGAAAAATTCCTCATACCCCACCCCCTGCCTTCTTAAAAAAAAAATAATCACTCAAACATACACAAGCACAAAAAAATTACGGACATGGTTATTCCGAATATGTACAAAAATGTAGAGTTAGAATATTACTTCTTGCTCATCAATATATTTGCTGTTGAATAAGAAATTGCAGAATATGAATGCATTTCTTCCCCGATTCTTTTTATCCAAGAATAAAAGTCATGTAGCAAGTATACGAGTGTTGTTCGGAAAGTTCGTGGACTACCGTCATAACTTTTTTTACTTAACGTCATATTATATCCAAATTTGGAAGAAATATTTCAACAGTAAATTAAAATGATTTGTATTATTTTTTTTTTTAAATATCATGGTTTATGTCAAACTTATTTAGACTTTTAAAATGCGAAAATTGGATTACGGAGCAGGTCAAATTTTGTAATTTACAATCAA